CCAAGAACGTCCAGGAACCTCGGAGCCCTCGATCCTCACCCCTCTCTCCTCGATCCTCGTGAGGGCGTGGAGACTTCCCTGATACTTACTGACCCCCCTTGGCATTGACTGACTCTGGAAATCCGACGATGTGAATGTTGCAGCCCGCAGCCCCGAAGTTTCGACCCCCTTCCCCAGGAACGGGTTGTCACCCCAGATGCATGTTGGATGGCCTTGGGGCCCGAAGCCAGTCTTTGGAGGTGGAAACTGAACGCATACATACGCCGCGATTGAAAACGAAAAACGCCAGAGGTCAGACCTATCAATGGCGGGGGACGGCCAGCTCGTCTCGAGGATCGAGCTTTGAAGACCGAATCCATCCGTTGTTGGATGACTTCTGCATGTCTTAGCTACTGGGTTTCGGTCGGGCATGTCCTCCTACAGGCGGAGGCTGGAAGGAAACCAACAACTAAGTTATCCAATACATGTTCAAACGTAATCACACATGTTCAAAAACATCGTCCCCATATGATTTGTTTTGCCATTCTGGAATATTCCTCCTGTAGAGGGACATGCTCGACTTAATACTGAGTCTGGGTTTCTGTTGTTTGGGGTGTGGGCCCTGCAGGGCACTCGTCCTCGAGAACCTGGCGGCACCCCTCGCGGAGACCCTCCTGGCATGGAAGGAACGGGTCCTGAGGGAAGCGGGCTATCCTTAGGTCGGGCATGTCCTGATTTGGGACGGTTTTTCTTGCCAAAAAACAAAAGCATAATCACAACTAATCAGAACTAGCCGGAAAATCGTACCTGGACTATCTTTTTAATCATTTTTGAATATGCCTCCTGCAGAGGGACATGCCCGACTTAAGGCTGTCCATCTTGAGCCGTTTCCAGTTACTCCGTGGGCCCTTGGAGGGCCTCTTGGGAGCCTGCACATTGAAAACTATACAGTGGGAACCCGACCACTGGAAACCTCCAACAAGAAACCCATCCCTGAGATCCACAGCAGAACCATCGAAACCAAGAAACCCAGGGCACCCTGGATGGAGTCAGGGTGTTTCTTGGCATGGGTCTCCACTGTACTGGATTCATCCCCCTCTGGACCGCTTTCCTTCGCCCAAGCATCCGACGATGTGAGCTTTGTCAATGGGAGGCTCCCTGGAAACACGTGCGATGACAGGCCCCAGACGCCAGAATCGAGGAACAACGCCGTGGTCGAGACAATCATATACTCGGAGATCTGGGCTTCTTCGCAGCCCGAATGGAAACAATCACATTTTCGGAATCGAACAAACAAGACTCGGATTGAATAGAAGACACAAAAACGTCTTAAACGTAAACTTTTGGCGCTCCGCGCGAAAATCTTGGATCCGTGCTGGGCCCCCCTCCCTCGCGCGCGGAGCGCGCCAGGGGCGGCGCCGGAGGCGCCGCCAGGGGGGGTCCAGCGCCGATCCGAGAAATCCGCGCGGACCTCCGAGTTTTTGTTTATGTCAGTCTTCGTTCCCCTAAACCATCACATCGTCTGACATCTGGGCCTTCGGGGCACAAACTCGGGGGGGTCCGCCGCCAGTACGGGGCCAGCCGAACTCGGCGAAGGAGCAGCAGCTGCTGCTGGAAAGCGCAGCCCAGGGGGGCGAGAAGCCCTCCGGGAAGCCAACGAGAACCTCCAGGACCCCCCCCCCCCCTTCCAGCCCCCGCCCCTCTCGTCCCCGCGAGCTTCCTCCCTGGCGACCTCGGCACTGCCAGCCCTGCTCCTTTGATGCTGGAGCTTTCCGGCCGCGAGCGGCGAGAACGGTAGCTACCGATGTTGCTTCACATTTCAGTATCGGGTCGCGACCGACTTGTTTCAAATCTGTCGCGAACGATCGGTCGCGACGCGACCGATTCTGGGATCGATCGCGATCCATTTTAGTGCCGATCGGTGGCGACCTACCGCGACCGAACAAAATCTGTATCCAATGATCTGGGAGATTGGCGATGTCGGAAACTCTAGGATGGAGGCCTCCCAAAGAGGCTCCCCGCAGATGGGGTTCCACCGATGCGTCGGAGATGCATTTTGCGACGTCAGCGATGCGTCGGTCGGCGGCGAGCGAGGGGGGCAGTGAGAAGGGGAAGGTCTTCTCGGGGGGGGCAGGACTTCTCAGAGGCCATGTGGCGCCTTCTGGGGGTTTTCGGTGTTTTCGGGGGAGGCTTGAAAAACCTCTCGGAAGGCTTGGGGACCTCCGAAACTTCTGAGAAAGCCTTCTCCTTCTCAGTTCCCCCCCTCGCTCGCCGCCAAATTCTAGGACGGAGGCCTCCCAAATAGGGTCCCCGCAGATGGGGTCGGCCGATGCATCGGTGATGCATGGGCGACATCGGCGATGCGTCGGCGCCATCGGCATGCGGCATGGATCGGCGAGACGGACGACTCGGGTACAAGGCACTCGTGCTGGCCTGACGGGGCCATCATGAGATTGACGAAACCCAATTTGATCTTTGACGCGAACTCCCGCTGCAAACGTCCCATGCAAACCAGCCCGTAAAATTCCAGGAAGCGCTCGTCAAAAAGCGTTGTCAAACCCAAATTCTGGCGTGCTCGAGTCTTACGGCTCCCCGACATTGGCGACGCCGGCGATGCGTCGGCGCATCGGCGTGGAGGAAATCGGGCACGACATCGAGCCGCATCGCCGACGCCTCGGCAAAGCGACGCCACCCTCGGACCCCATCTCCTCGGACACCACCTGGGATTGGCGGCGAGCGACGGGGGAAAGTGAGAAGGAGGATGCCTTCTCAGAAGGCGGCGGAGATTCTGACAAGGCTTCCAACCCTCTGAGAGGATTCCTGTGTCTTCGGGGAAAGCTCAGAAAACTTCCCCGAAGGCCGCAGAACTTCAGAGCCCTCTGAGAAGGCCCGCCCCTTCGCACTCCCCCCCCCGGGCGCGCCGCCGACGGGAGGCAAGGATACATGGTGACCTTGCACGAAGGGATTTTGTCGGCGAGCCCATGACGAAGTCAGACGGGGGCAGGCCTTCTCTCGGACGGCGGCGGGGCCTCTCAGAAGCCCTCGCGCCTTCTGAAGAGGCCTCTGAGCCGTCTCCGAAGACACGGATAGCATCCCTCTCAGAAGGCGCCAAGACTTCTGAGGAGGAAGCCCCGCCGCCTTCTGAGAGGGCCTGCCCCCGACGATGCCCGAAAGATTGTCCACAGCCGACAGCGGCCACGGTGGTGCGCGCGGCGTTCTGCCTCAAGCGGAGCACGCCCGCGGCAAGACCGGCAACGAGCACTGTTCAACAGGAACAGGACAGGATGTCGGCCGCCGTGCCCGTTTCGTACCGACCTCGATCGTCCCGATGGATATCATGATGCGATTGACTCAGGATGCGACCCAGGAGTTCTGGAGTATCTAGCGGCCCTCGTTTCTGCAGCCCGCACGGAGCACCAGGACACCCCTGGAATCCTGGAAATGCTGGCTCTGAGGTGCTCCCCTCGCAATTAAGGGCCACATCTCAGAAATAAGTTCGAGCACCCCGAAAAGTATCGAAACAATGTCGAACGAGTACCGCCCCCCAGGGCCCGACACGTGAGAACTTAAAGTGTCGGTGTTTTCATGGTGCTCGAAATTCTTTCTGGTGGTTCAGGCCAAAGTAGGTAGGGACATTCTAACTCTTGCTCCTCTCCCCAACTACTCAGACCTCACCTGGGATGACTGGATGCATGGCGACCTTGGCACTGCCCGATTGGCCCTCCCGGATCCTGGAAGACTCGGGTCCGAGGGGCTCGAGCTGGCTTAGCGGGGCCTTCAGGCAAATTACGAGAACCAGTTTGAAATTAGACGCAATCTCTCGCTGCAAAAACCTCCCAACAAATAGACCCTCAGAGACCAGGACGGGCTCGTCAAAAAATATCGGCAAGCACGAGCCCAGCGAACTCGAGTCTTAATCGGCCGCTCCGAAAGGTGTGGCTTGCAACGGGTGTGGCTTGCAACCGGAACCCTCGGGGGGGCACACTGGGGGGCGGGCGAGGACCTTGACAGAGCCTTCCGCCGCGCCCCGTGCTCTCCAGGCCCCAACGGTGCCGATCGTAAACCACACCCCAGCTTGGGCAGGGACCGACCGTCCTGGCAGTCCGATCGGCCCACCAGGGAAGGCGGTCTCGGCCAGAAAGGATCTGAGAACACCTCGTGCAAACCACAGAACAGGTTGTCAGAACCCCTTTTCCTTCTCTCGGGGAGACGTAAGACCCGGGTACGGGGGACTCGGAAATCCCCGACGAGGTCGTCAAAAAAATGACGAGGCCGAGCCTGCATTTTGACGAGGCCTCCCGCTGCAGACATCCCACGAAACTCCTCCTCGTCAAAACCCGAGGCGCGGTCGTCAAGAAAACGATGGCGAAGCCGAGTCCTGGCAAACCCGGGTCTTACGCTCCCCCGATTCTCGGGGCTCCAGGCAAGCCAAGATGCTTCGCCACAGCTCGACCAGCGCATAACCATACGTACCCTTTGTAGTCGCCGACGTGCGTCTCCCCGCTAGGACGCGGCCCCAGACCCAGATCATTGGCTACTGGAGATTTTCCGGCCGCGACCGACGAGAACAGTCGCTACCGATGTTGCTTAAAAATTGCGGTATTGGTCGCGACCGATCTGTTTCAACATCGGTCGCGACCGATCGGTCGCGATCGATGGCGACCGGCCGCGACCGATGTGGGGATCCGTCGCGATCGATCGCGACCGACTTGGAGGGCCCAGCGGCAACGACCGATCGCAACCGAAGAAACACCGGCATCCAATGATCTGGGGAGGACCGCCCCGAGCCCGGCCGCGGAGGGATCAGGGGGGCGTAAGACCCGGGTACAGGGAGGCCGAGCCTGCATTTTGACGAGGCCTCCCGCTGCAGACATCCCACGAAACTCCTACTCGTCAAAATCCGAATCGGCTTCGTCAAAAAACGATGGCGAAGCCGAGTCCTGGCAAACCCAGGTCTTACGCTCCCCCGAAGGGAGGGGGGCACGCGCCACGGGCTCCGCCGCCGCCCCTCCGCGGGGCCCTCAGCTCGGCCCCGGCGCCACCGCGGCGGCCGCGCCCCGGGGCCGGCGCCTGGCGCGCTCGGGGGCCCCCGCCCCGCCTCGCTCCCGCTGCTGCCCCCTGCCCCTCTGCGGCAGCTCCTGTGGGAACCGCGCGTGCGCACTCTGCGGCAGGCTCGCGCGGCGCCGGCCCGCGTCAAGTCTGCTCACACGCACAGCGCATCGATGCTTGCACCCTGAGCCGATCGCGGCCCCGATCCTGTAAGGTGGAGGTCCGTCGGGCCCAGGGGCGTCCCCGTGTCCCTCGGTGCTTCCGCGTCGCCGATTCGCCGGCGTCGCCAGCGCGCCATCGCTGCATGACCCTGCTGTGAGTTGCCTGGGCCCTGCCCCGTGGCGCTTCGCAGAAACGCCACAGGACACCGTATCGTATATCATTCCACGGCCAAGTCTCCACGACACCCGTGTTGAAAAAAATATCCCGGCAAAGCAACCTGACAGCGATGTGTAGGAGCATATCTGGAAGCATTCCCCTTAAGATTCAGATGAGAATCCAGTTGTAGAATTCTGCTGTTCTCGCAGTCGTAGTCGCATTCGCGATGACAGTCGCAGTGGCAACGGCAGTCGCAGTCACAGCCTCAGCCTCAGCCTGCCTCAGCCTCAGCCTCAGCCTCAGCCTCAGCCTCAGCCTCAGCCTTCAGCCTCAGCCTCAGTCTGCCTTCAGCCTCGGCCTCAGCCTCAGCCTCAGCCTCAGCCTGCATCAGCCTCAGCCTCAGCCTCAGCCTGCCTCAGCATCAGCCTGCCTCAGCCTCAGCCTCAGCCTGCCTCAGCCTCAGCCTCAGCCTGCTTCAGCCTCAGCGGCCTCCTCGGCCTCAGCCTCAGCCTGCCTCAGCCTCAGCCTGCATCAGCCTCAGCCTCAGCCTCAGCCTGCAGCATCAGCCTGCCTCAGCCTCAGCCTCAGCCTGCCTCAGCCTCAGCCTCAGCCTGCTTCAGCCTCAGCCTCAGTCTGCCTTCAGCCTCGGCCTCAGCCTCAGCCTGCCTCAGCCTCAGCCTCAGCCTCAGCCTCAGCCTCAGCCTCAGCCTCAGCCTCAGCCTCAGCTCAGCCTGCAGCCTCAGCCTGCAGCCTCAGCCTCAGCCTCAGCCTGCCTCAGCCTCAGCCTCAGCCTGCCTCAGCCTCAGCCTCAGCCTCAGCCTCAGCCTCAGCCTCAGTCTGCCTTCAGCCTCGGCCTCAGCCTCAGCCTGCCTCAGCCTCAGCCTGCATCAGCCTCAGCCTCAGCCTCATCCTGCCTCAGCATCAGCCTGCCTCAGCCTCAGCCTCAGCCTGCCTCAGCCTCAATCTGCCTTCAGTCCGGCCTCAGCCTCAGCCTGCCTCAGCCTCAGCCTGCATCAGCCTCAGCCTCAGCCTCAGCCTGCCTCAGCATCCGCCTGCCTCAGCCTCAGCCTCAGCCTGCGTCAGCCTCAGCATCAGCCTGTCTGCCTTCAGCCTCGGCCTCAGCATCAGCCTGCCTCAGCATTCAAACTGTAGCCTGGGAATGGAGTTCTGGGAACTCGAAGAACACGAAGTGGCCTACAGTTGGCTCCGGGCATTCAAAATCATGCCCAGGAATGGAATTCTGGGAACTCGAAGACCACGAAGTGGCCTACTGTTGGCTCTGGGCATGGAATTCTTGGAACTCGAAAACAATGAAGTGGCCTACAGTTGGCTCCGGGCATTCAAAATCGTGCCTAGGAATGGAATTCTGGGAACTCGAAGACCACGAAGTGGCCTACAATTGGCTCCGAGCATTCAAAATCATGCCCAGGAATTGAGTTCTGGAAATGGGAAGACCACGAAGTGGCCTACAGTTGGCTCCGGGCATTCAAAAACATGCCCAGGAATGGAGTTCTGGGACCTCGAAGACCACGAAGTGTGTAACTGTTTGCTTAAAACGACTTCCGCGGATTCTCCCCGGCACCCGTCCGGCATCTGCCCAGACCCCCCTGAGGAGTCAAGATGCTTTCTTTTGAGACTATTAGAAACCTATCAGTCTTCGCTGTTAGGTAACAAGAACGCGGTGTTCGGGTCGCCATTTGCAGTTACGCTGTGGACAAAAAGGACACCTAGTACAGTGGAAATATTCCTTGTCCCGATCACTGCAGCCTACCATGCCCTCTTGTTCCTGCGGGCACTAATCTGCAGTTGATCGACGCTGATCGACACTCATCACGATACCGCGCCCGCCCGAGTCACCGACCCGCAGTGAAGTGCCCGCGCGCCAGCGCGGCCTTGGAGACGCGCTGGGTCATCGGTGAGCGCCATCGCGACCTCATCGGTTGTGCCCGACCAGCTTGCCGCTCTGCTCGCGAGCTTGCGTCCTCCAGCGTGGCCACAGTGATACGCCAGCCAGGGCCAAGCAGTCATCGCAATCGCGGCCGCGTGGGTTTTGCAATGCAAGTTGTGTAGGGGAGGGTGGGATGATCGCGCGAGCAGTGGTATGGACAACTCATGAGTTGGGAACAAGTCGTAGCAACACGTAGCTTCCACCTCTAACATACAATACACGCCGGTCGGAAGAAGTAGGTCAACGCATGAAATAGGAAGGCGGATAACGTAGGTTGGGTACAGGCCCTCCCAGATAATAACAGAGCACAGCAGAAGCATCTCGATTCTGAGAGTAGGAAGGCGCTTGAAGTACATTGGGATCTGGGAGTCCAGAAATCCAGACGTTCAACGACCAGCATGCAGCTCACTGATTGGGGTCCAGGCTGGCTAACATATGCCATGTCAATTGGGATAAATGCGGGCAGGGGCCCGCATGTGAAGGTATGCAGCCAGCGGCCTGCCCTTCTTCCAAATCAAGCTCCGCACATGGACGCTCCATCACCACAAACATGAGGGGGGCCCAGGGACGTACAAATAACTACAAGCAAACGCCAGGGTCCCCGATATGTTCCCTTGTCTTGCCCTCGGCTTTCCACATGCCCCATCATTTCTGGGGCCTCGGCGATTCTTCGAGTCTATGAGTTCTGATCCCTCCAGAAAACATCCTTCCTCTTCCATCCAAAGGCCACTCTTCGCCGTGCTCCCTCTCGACCGGGCGTTGCCAGAAGAAGACCCCTGGCCAAAGAGTATCCCCAGCTCTTTCTGCGCCTCCAGTGCCGCCCGTGGCGCGCTCCGTGACGGGGAAGGGGATCCAGCGTCGATCCAAGAGGTCCGCGCGGTCCGAAAGTGTAAATGCATGCTGCTTTTGATCTTTGGTTCGTGGTTGTCTATACACCACACCTTTCCCTGAGGCCGCAACAATCCGCCAGGGGTTGCACGTGTACAGTCGAGACATGGACAATAGAGGGTCCATCAGGAACGCGAGCCCCTTCGGCGAGACCCCAAGGCCCCATGGAGATCCGCCGCGCGAAGGCCAATCCAGGGTGGAGAGCCCAAGCACGACTAGTATCTGGGTAGCCCTCCAGAGCTGGGGCTGTCCTTATCCCCCGTCCCGGCTGGCTAGATATCGTTGCTGTGGGCGACATATCCAGCCCTACCCTTTTCCGCCCTGCCCCTCGGCGAGGGGATCCAAAAATAGCACGAACATGAACTTCCAAAAGTCCGCACGGACTTCTCGAATCTGCGCCCACCCCTGTGCCTGGCGCGAGGAGCGCGCCAGTGGCGGCGCCAGAGGCGCCCGCGCCGTTCCAAGGAATCCGCGCGGAACTCAGAAAATCGATGTGTACACTGAGATCCATTGTTGCAGAAAAAGCGGCATCATCGTGAGAAATCGCGCCCCGAGCCCTAGAGGCCATCTGTCTGCGTCATTTTTCGAGCCGGATCGATCTGTGAGGGTCCTGTGGCGCGAAATTGAGCGAACACGCCGGTTGCAAACAAAAATGCAACGCCAGGATCTCGGGGCATGCCGCTTCTTGCTCTTCGGTCGGCGCCGCCGCAGGCAGCCGCACCAGCTCCTGCCCGGCTTCTCTGCCGGCGCCGCGGCGGCCTCCAGGTCCGAGCCGGCCGCCGCCCGTGGCTCGGCCGCCGCCTTGGCCGCCGGTCTCGCGGCCGCCGGCTGGGCCGCCGGAGTGGCCTGGGAGGACCAACACGTATCGATACCTGGGGGCAAAAAGGAAGGAGGGAGGACCGCGCGGGAGGCAAAAGGCAGCGCTGGGGTGAGGGCGAAGGAGGAAGGAGAACGAACAACAAAAAAAAGGCAGCAGCAGAAGGGGAAAGGGGCAAAGGAAGAGCAGCCGCTGAGGGGCAGCAAGGGAGCAGCGCGGGGCAACTCCCCGGACTTCTCCCAGGGAGCATTGTGACCAGAATCTCGGGGCAAATCCAGCGGTGGCGGAGCCTCCCAGGAGGCACAAGAAGGGGAGAACGAGGGCATGGCATCGCGGTATCGGTGCATGTTCCTCCTTTGGTGGCCGCCGGCGCTCGGCGGAGCTCGTCGCCAGCAAGGGCAGCAAGCCCGCCCACTCGACGGTCCCTTCGCGTTGACCCAGGGCAGCAGGGGCAGCAGCGGAAGCATCTGCAGCAGCTCCTGCGCCGCCCCCTCGCCAGGGGGCTGATCGCGGCATTCGTAGGCTCTTGCGCCTCCAGTGAAGCCCGGCGCGCGTCGTCCTCGACAACCCTCTGTTCCAAGGACATAGTCCTCTCGCGCTTGACTATATCGACGCACTCCTTCCACGACGACCATGTTATGTCCAGGAGCACCATGTCGGACTCAAGGCCCGTGTTCATCGTCATGAGCGCGGCGCGTGCCTTTCGGGTCTTCTTAAGTTTTGCGTCGAAAGCCTTCCGTTCAGCCAACCATTGCTCATGCTCCCTCCTGTGCAATTTCTCCAAATCCGCTCACCGTGCCGTACGCACGAAATGAAGTGTCCTCAGGTCCCTTCGAGTTCTTTCCTTTCTCCAAACAGCTTCTTGCACTTAAATTTCTTAGTCCTGGTCTGAAGAACTAGGCGTGTTTGTCGGTCTGGCGGCTATTTTGTCGCCGTCGCCGCTTTGTCGTCACCTCGTCGCCGCCCGTCGTCTGGAACTCTCTGTCGGCTTGGTGGCTACGTTATCGCCGTCGTCACCGCCGCGTCGCCGCATCGTTCGTCGCCGCCGTCGTCTGCGCCTGTCTGCCGGCCTGGCGGCTATGCTGTCGCCGTCGCCCCCCGGTCGCCGCCTCGCCGCCGCCGTGGATTCTCCTTCCTCAAAACAATTCGGACATGCCACCTCCTTTGACGGGAAGTATCGCCCGCCCCGCGGGGATGTGCAATCTACGTACGATTCTGCCCCAATCGCTTTTTCACTATATGAATCCGTACCATCTCAACTGAACAAAATTCGCCCCCCCTCCTTCCCACCATCCTCTGCACACGCTCGTTCACAATAATCACCACTTTCCCGAATCCGACGCAAGATCTGAAGCGACGTGCACACGCGGTCGTCGTCGCGCGCGCATGCCGAAATCCTTCAACAGCCATGGGTTTCGTCCGGATTCCACAATCGAGTGCCCCGGAAACGAATAAAACACCTGGTTTTGGAGCGTGGCCCATCAAGAAAGGTCAGCGCGCTGTTGCGAATTCTTAAGAAAACCGTCGGTTCTCAACGTGTTCATCAAATCCGACCGAGCGGGCCTCTCGCGCGCGCACGTCGGAATCATTCGAACGCGCTCGCGCGCATGCTAAGGGCGGGGGGGGCACCACCCCTGTCAAAGAATACCATGCGGGCTAGTCGCGCCCGTCGGCCAGGCGCGGATGTCAGAACTGTTCCAAAACATGCATCACCGAAGCGGAAACGCTATTATCGTCATCGGCGTGATCAACATCGGTGCCGTCATTTGCCTTGCCGCCGTCATCCTCATCGTCTGCATCGTCACCAGCATCGTGACTTCCAGTATCGTGTCTGCAGATGTCGACGTCGCCATGATGCCGCGCCCGCCCGGATCACTTACTTACTCGCACTGAAGAAAACGCGCGTAAGCGGGGCTCGCGAGTCGCACCGGAAACTACCCAGCGGCCAGTGCCACCACGAAAGCGTCGGTCCCGCCAAACTGGCTGGCCGCTACGCGCGCGAGCTAGCACGCGCCAGCGAGGCCACTGCGACACGTCAACCATCGCGAAACAGTCATCGCAACCTCGCACGGGTTGTGCAAACCAAGTTGCGGGTGGGTGGGTGGGATGGTTGGGCGAACAGGGGTTGACAATTTCAAGTTCGGCAGGGTGAGTTGCACCGCGTAGATTGCACTACCTGGCTCCGACGGCAAGGTCTGAGCCACATGCAGTGCCTTACGTATTGCACAACCTATATTGCACCACACAAGAGTCCACATTATACTACACCACGCAGTTTGAAACACATGGAATGCACAACATAGATTATCCTTTATTCTCCTTGCTAAGACCAAAATAGGATCTCCCCCCCCCGGCGTTATCGCCCCCCCCTTCGGGTATGTAAATCATATACGATTCTGACCACATGTCCATCCTAAATATGACTTTACGCTATCCCCGGGGGGCGGGTATCTTCCCCCCTGAGGGTCTTTTTACAAAAAAACACTATGCGGTGACATTTGTTGTTCTAGCATAACACTTGTTCACGAATCCCTTGCAAAACATTGGACGAAGTGCGCACGCGCGCGCCGTCGCGCGCGCATGCCGAAATCCTTCAAGAACCCTCGGTGCAAGAAGGATTCCGCAATCAAGTCTCCAAAAAACATACAAAAAACATGGTTTCGCGACCCTGATTTGCTAAAAGAACTTCCGCGCGAGATCTTGCGAAATCTGAAGAACACCATCGTTTTTTTCCAGATGTTCACAAAATCCTACCAAACGGGCTTCGCGCGCACGCATGTCGAAATCAGTCGAACGCCCTTGCGCGTGTGCCGTCGCAAGAATCCTTTGCAACAAATAGGACGAAGTGCAGACGCGCGCGTCGTCGCGCGCGTATGCCGAAATCCTCCAAAACCCATCCTTCAATGCCCATCCTTCAAACAACCTACAAAAACACAAGTTTTCGCAACACGGATTTTCAACAAAAGCGTGTGCGCGCGCTCTTGCGTCGTCGTCGTCGTCGCCTCGTCGTCGCCGTCCTCCCTCCTCCCGCGTCGTCGTCGTCGTCGCCTACGTCGTCCTCTGTCTTTCCTTGTGTTCGTCGTCATCGTCCTCTTTGGCGTCGTGGTCGTTTCCGTCGTCGTTGTCGCCGTGGTCGTCCTTCCTCCTCCTCCCTCGTCGTCGTCGTCGTCCGTCGTCGGCGTCTCGTCGTCGTCCCTTCTATTTCGTCGTCGTCATTGTCGTCGTCGTCTCGTCGTCGTCTTCCCGCCTCCCTCGTCGTTGTCGTCGTCGGCGTCGCCGTCCTTCCTCCTTCTTCGTCGTTCGCGTCGTCGCCGTCCTCCCTCCTCCCTCGTGGTTGTCGTCGTTTTCGTCGTTGTCGCCGTCGTCGTCCTTCCTCCTCCCTCGGCGTCGCCTTCGTCGTCGTCGTCTTCGTCGTCGTCTTCGTCGTCGTCGGCGTCGTTGTCGTCGTCGAAGTCGTCAGAGACGTCGTCGGTGTCGTCGTAGTCGTTGTCGTCGTTGTCGTCGTAGTCGGTCTCAAGAGGTTTTGCAAACCAAGTTGCGGGTGGGTGGGTGGGATGTTTGCGCGAACAATGGAAATGACGACTTCAAGTTCGGCAGAGTTGCTAAAAACAGAATAGGATATATTCCCCTCCCGGCGTTATCGCCCCCCTGTCGGGTATGTAAATCACATATGATTCCAACCACATGTCCATCCGAAATATGAATTTGCACTATCCCCCGGGGTGCGGTATCCCCCCCCTGAGGTTTTTTTGGTGAAAAAGAACGATTAATGTTATTGTAATATATATATATATAGATGTATAGAAATAAACATAATAAATATATGTATAACGCTATGTGGTGGCGGTGACATTTGTTGTTCTAACACAGCACTTTTTTCCCACAAATCCTTTGCAAAACATTGGACGAAGTGCACACGCGGGCGCGCCGTCGCGCGCGCATGCCAAAATCCTTCAAAAACCTTTGGTGCCGGAAAGATTTCGCAATCAAGTCTCCAAAAACATAAAAAACATGGTTTCGCGACCCTGATTTGCTATATATATATATATATATAACTTCCGCGCGAGCTCTTGCGAAATCTGAAGAAAACCATCGGTTGTTTCCAGGTGTTCGGAACATGCTACCAAACGGGCTTCGCGCCCGCGCATGTCGAAATCTGTCGAACGCCCTTGCGCGTGTGCCGTCGCGAGAATCCTCGGCAAAAAATCAGACGAAGTGCAGACGCGCGCGTCGTCGCGCGCGTATGCCGAAAACCTTCAAAACCCATTGGTTTCGGAAGGATTTCAAAATCGCGCGTCCAAACAACCTACAAAAACACAGGGTTTCGCAACACGGATTTTCAACAAAAGCGTGCGCGCGCGCTCTTGCATCGTCGTCGTCGTCCTCCCTCTTCCCTCGTCGTCGTCGTCGTCGTCGCCGTCGTCGTCTCCTGTCATTCCTCACTGTCGTCGTCGTCGTCTTGGCGTCGTCGTCGCTTCCGTCGTCGTTGTCGCCGTGGTCGTCTTTCCTCCCTCGTCGTCTTCGTCGGCGGTTCGTCGTTGTCCTTCCTGTTTCGTCGCCGTCGTTGTCGTTGTCGTCGTCGTCGTCTTCCCTCCTCCCTCGTCGTTGTCCTCCTCCCTCGTCGTCGTCGTCCGTCGTCGGCGTCTCGTCGTCGTCCCTCCTGTTTCGTCGCCGTCGTCGTCATCTTCGTCGTCGTCTTCCCTCCTCCCTCGTCGTTGTCGTCGTCGGCGTCGCCGTCCTTCCTCCTTCTTCGTCGTTCGCGTCGTCGCCGTCTTCCCTCCTCCATCGTCGTTGTCGTTGTTGTCGCCGTCGTCGTCATCCCTCCTCCCTCGTCGTCGTCTTCGTTGTCGACGTCGTCGTCGTCTTCGTCGTCGTCGTCGTCGGCGTCGTCGTCTTCGTCGACGTCGACGTCGGCGGTGTCGTCGTAGTCGGTGTCGGCGGCGCCGTCGTCGTCGTTGTCGCTGTCGTCGTCGTTGTCGCGGCCAACTGCCATGTGGTACCTACCGTCACGGTCTTGTCTTGAGAAGTCTTGCGACCAAGTTGCGGGTGGGTGGGTGGGATGTTTGCGCGAGCAGTGAGGGTGGTCAGGCGCGGTGCAGGGTAGTCAATTGCACCATCTATTCTCCTTTTCTAAAAAGAAAATAGACTCTACCCCCTCTGGCGTTATCGGTACCCCTTTCGGGCACGTAAATCATATATGATTACGACCGCATGTCCATCCTAAATATGAAATCGCAATGTCCCGCGCCAGCCGGTATCCCCCCTGAGGTTCCCTTGTAACAAAAAACACTATGCGGTGACGTTTTTTGTTCTAACATATCACTGTTTCGCGAATCCTTTGCAACAACAAAAAAACGAAGTGCACACGCGCGCGCCGTCGCGCGCGCATGCCGAAATCCTTCGAAAACCTTCGGTGCCAGAAGGATTTCGCAATCGAGTTTCCACGCAAACATACAAAAACACATGGTTTCGTAACACTGATTTGCTAAAAAAGCTTACGCGCGAGCTCTTGCGAAATCTGAAGAAAACCATCGGTTGTTTCCAGATTTTCACCAAATGCTACCAAACGGGCATCGCGCGCGCGCATGTCGAAATCTGTCGAACGCCCTTGCGCGTGTGCCGTCGCGAGAATCCTCTGCAAAAAATGAAACGAAGTGCAGACGCGCGCGTCGTCGCGCGCGTCCGCCGAAATCCTTCAACACCCATCGGTTTCGGAAGAATTTCAAATTCGTGCGTCCAAAAAACCTACAAAAACAACAGGTTTCGCAACACGGACTTTCAACAAAAGCATTCGCGCGCGCTCTTGCGGCGTCGTCGTCGTCGTCGTCGTCGCCGTCCTCTCTCCTCCCGCGTCGTCGTCGTCGTCGCCTACGCCGTCCTGTGTCTTTCATCGTGTTCGTCGTCGTCGTCTTTGGCGTCGCGGTCGTTTCCGTCGTCGTTGTCGCCGTGGTCGTCCTTCCTCCTCCTCCCTCGTCGTCATCGTCGTCGTCCGTCGTCGTCCGTCGTCGGCGTCTTGTCGTCGTCCCTCCTATTTCGTCGCCGTCTTCGTCGTCGTCATTGTCGTCGTCGTCTCGTCGTCGTCTTCCCGCCTCCCTCGTCGTTGTCGTCGTCGGCGTCGCCGTCCTTCCTCGTTCTTCGTCGTTCGCGTCGTCGCCGTCCTCCCTCCTCCCTCGTTGTCGTCGTTGTCGTCGTTGTCGTCGTTGTCGCCGTCGTCCTCCCTCGTCGTCGTCTTCGTTGGCGTCGTCGTCGTCGTCTTTGTCGTCGTCGGCGTCGGCGTCGTTGTCGTTGTCGAAGTCGTCGGAGACGTCGTCGGTGTCGTCGTAGTCGTTGTCGCCGGTGTCGTCGTAGTCGGTCTTAAGAGCTTTTGCAAACCAAGTTGCGGGTGGGTGGGTGGGGTGTTTGCAAGAGCGTGGGATATGTCAAATCATTTGTAAAAACCAATTGCACACCATAGACTGCAACCACACGACCTGCACAACATCGATTGACACGCTTGCCTTTACCACGCGGGCTGCTCTACACATCTTGCGCCACCTATGGTCCACAACATATACTGCATCACATACATTCTCCTTTCTAAATAAACAATACACTCTACCCCCCCCCCGGCGTCATCGGTCCCCTTTTCGGGTATGTAAATCATGTATGATTCTGACCGCGTGTCCATCCCAAATATGAATTTACACTTTCCTAGGGGGGCTGGTATCGGCCCCCTCTGGTGTTCCCTTGTTAAAATACGATACGCGGGGACATATGTTTTTCTAACATAACACTTGTTCATGAATCCCTTGCCAAAAATATAAGGAAGTGCGCACGCGCGCGCCGTCGCGCGGGCATGCCGAAATCCTTCAAACACCTTCGGTGCCGGAAGGATTTCGCAATCGGTTTTCCAAAAACATACAAAAACACATGGTTTCGGAGCACTGATGTGCTAAAAAAACTTACGCGCGAGCTCTTGCGAAATCTTGAGAAAACCATCGGTTTTCCACCTTCGCACAACATGCTACCAAACGGGCTGGCTTCGCGCGCGCGCATGTCGAAATCTGTCGAACGCCCTTGCGCGTGTGCCGTCGCGAGAATCCTCTGCAACAAAATGAAACGAAGTGCAGACGCGCGCGTATTCGCGCGCGTATGCCGAAATCCTTCAAAACCCATCGGCTTCGGAAGGATTTCAAAATCGCGTGTCCAACAAACCTACAACAAACACAAAATTTCGCAACACGGATTTTCAACAAAAGCGTGCGCGCAATCTTGCGTCGTCGTGGTCGCCGTCCTCCCTCCTCCCGCGTCGTCGTCGTCGTCGCCTACGTCGCCCTCTGTCTTTCCTCGTGTTCGTCGTCATCGTCGCCCTCTTTGGCGTCGTAGTCGTTTCCGTCGTCGTTGTCGCCGTGGTCGTCCTTCCTCCTCCTCACTCGTCGTCGTCGTCGTCATCCGTCGTCGGCGTCTCGTCGTCGTCCCTCCTATTCCGTCGCCGTCGTCGTCGTCGTCGTCGTCGTTGTCGTCGTCGTCGTCTTCCCTCCTCCCTCGTCGTTGTCGTCGTCGGCGTCGGCGTCGGCGTCCTTCCTAATTCTTCGTCGTTCGCGTCGTCGCCGTCCTCCCTCCTCGTTGTCGTCGTTGTCGTCGTTGTCGTCGTCGTCGCCGTCGTCGTCCTCCCTCCTCCCTCGTCGTCGTCTTCGTTGGCGACGTCGTCGTCGTCTTCGTCGTCGTCGTCGTCGTCGGCGTCGTCGTCGTCTTCGCCGTCGTCGTCGTCGGCGTCGTCGTCGTCGCCGCCGTCGTCGTCGTCGTCGTCGCCGTCGTTGACGTCGGCGTCGTCGTCGTCGTCGTTGTCGTCGTCGTCGGCGTCGTCATCGTCGTCGTCGTTGTCATCGTCGTCGTCGTCGTCGGCGTCGTCGTCGTCGGTTTCGTCGACGTCGTCGTTGTCGGCGTCGTCGAAGTCGTTGGTGTCGTAGTCGTTGTCGTCGTAGTCGTTGTCGGCGGCGTCGTCGTCGTCGTTGTCGCTGTCGTCGTCGCTGTCGTTGCCAACTGGGTGGGTGGGATGTTTGCGCGAGCAGTGGAGTTGACAACTTCAAGGTCGACAAGTGAATTCTCCTTTCCAAAAAAAGAAAATAAATTCTACCCCCCGGCGTTATGCGTTCCCCTTTCGGGTATGTAAATCTGACACGATTCGGACCACATGTCCATCCTAAAAATAAATTTACACTATCCCAAGGGAACCGGTATCGACCCCCCTAAGGTTCCCTTGTAAAAAAAGAAACGCGGGGACATCTTGTTCTAACATATCACTTTTTTCACAAATCGCTTGCAGCAACAAAAAAAACATGACGAAGTGCACACGCGCGCGTCGTCGCGCGCGCATGCCGAAATCCTCAAAAAACTGCCGGTGTCGGGTGGATTTCGCAAACGAGTTCCCCTAAAACATACAAAAACACAAGGTTTCGCAACACTGATTTGCTAAAAAAACTTACGCGCGAGCTCTTGCGAAATCTTAAGAAAACCATGGGTTTTCCATATTCGCACAACATGCTACCAAACGGGCTGGCTTCGCGCGCGCGCATGTCGAAATCGGTCGAACGCCCTTGCGCGTGTGCCGTCGCGAGAATCCTCGGCAACAAAATGAAACGAAGTGCAGACGCGCGCGTATTCGCGCGCGAATGCCGAAATCCTTCAAAACCCATCGGCTTCGGAAGGATTTCAAAATCGTGTGTCCAACAAACCTACAAAAACACAAAGTTTCGCAGCACGGGTTTTCAACAAAAGCGTGCGCGCGCGCTCTTGCGTCGTCGTCGTCGCGTCGTCGCCGTCCTCCCTCCTCCCGCGTCGTCGTCGTCGTCGCCTACGTCGCCCTCTGTCTTTCCTCGTGGTCGTCGTCATCGTCATCCTCTTTGGCGTCGTGGTCTTTTCCGTCGTCGTTGTCGCCGTGGTCGTCCTTCCTCCTCCTCCCTCGTCGTCTTCGTCGTCCGTCATCGGCGTCTCGTCGTCGTCCCTCCTATTTCGTCGCCGTCGTCGTCGTCGTCGTCGTCGTCGTCGTTGTCGTCGTCGTCGTCTTCCCTCCTCCCTCGTCGTTGTCGTCGTCGTCGGCGTCGGCGTCCTTCCTAATTCTTCGTCGTTCGCGTCGTCGCCGTCCTCCCTCCTCGTTGTCGTCGTTGTCGTCGTTGTCGTCGTTGTCGCCGTCGTCGTCCTCCCTCCTCCCTCGTCGCCGTCTTCGTTGGCGACGTCGTCGTCGTCTTCGTCGTCGCCGTCGGCGTCGGCGTCGTCGTCGTCTTCGTCGTCGTCGACGTCGGCGTCGTCGTCGTCGCCGCCGTCGTCGTCGTCGTCGTCGGCGTCGGTGACGTCGTCGGCGTCGTCGTCGTCGGTGTCGTCATTGTCGTCGTCGTCGGCGTCGTCATCGTCGTCGTCGTTGTCATCGTCGTCGTCGTCGGCGTCGGCGTCGTCGTCGGTGTCGTCGTCGTCGTCGTTGCCGGCGTCGTCGAAGACGTTGGAGACGTCGCCGCCGTCGTCGTAGTCATTGTCGGCGGCGTCGTCGTCGTTGCCGCTGTCGTCGTCGGCGTCGCTGTCGTTGCCAAGTGCCATGTGGTACCCACCGTAGCATAGACGGCTCCACGTAGATTGCGCAAATAAACTGCAGCACGTAGCGTACACAACATATAGATGGAACCGACTGGATTGCACCACGTGGGGTGATCAACATAGATGGCACCACCTAGAGAACGCAACACAGATTGTACCACATTGATTGCGCCACATAGATTGCAACAGCCTCCTATGTTGCACAAACATTGTGCGACGCAGACATCGAAGCACACAGCCAGCGCCACATAGTTTGCACAGCGTAATTTGCACTGAATGTATTGCACAACATTGACTGCGCAACACAGATTGCACCAAAGGATTGCAACACACATATTGCACAACATTCTTCGCTACAGACATAATGTTTGGGGCCCACGCTGGCTAACATCGCGCATTATGGATGCCCGATAACGGGCCGCGAGCCCCAGCTCCCGGATTTGGTTAGGCGTGATGTTGCCTCAGTGTGGCTTCAGGTCCCCAAGTCGCTCCAGTGGGACTCCGAAGGGACCCCGAAGGGGGCACTAAAAAGCATAAATCACGGACGTGCGCAGAACAAATTTGAAGGAGTCATGCGTTCTCGCTGTTTCTGGCTTCCGACACGCCACAGACGGCCCGAAAAGAACCCAGACCTCTCCAAGGCGGCCCACAGAGCCCCGAAGAGGTACACAAGACGGCCCAGGATGCCCGCAAGACGGCCCAACATGACCAAGGGGGAGAAGACGGAGTGGTCTTCGAAGCCTGTTTTTCTTCGGGATGGCCCCGAAGACGTTCAAGATGAGCCAAAAAGGCTAACAACACTTCCTCATATGCCCCAAAGACGCCGCCAAGAGGGGCTCAATCTGCTCAGGAGAGGCGTCCAAGATGCCTTCAACAGGCCCCCGAGAGGCATCCCGAGAGACCCCAACAGGCATCTAGAGGCCTCTGGCCCACATAACCCAGGCACGGTAGCGGGATTGGCCGAAGGACACTCAATAGTCCTGCTTCCAGCCTGACATCGCGATGCGGAGCACAATCTGCGGATCTTGGACGAACGTCGAACCTAGGAGGAAGTTGCGCGCCGCGTTCCTCGAGGAACAAACACCGGCATACACATAAGTTCTCGGAGGTCCGAGCAGGTTTCGTGGATCTGCACTGAGACCCCTCCCTGCCAAGCGGAGCGCGCCAGGGGCGGCGCCTCCAGGGGGGCCCAGGGCAGATCCAAGAAATCCGCGCGGACCTCTGATAGTTTATGTTTCTGTTTTTTGTGTTCTGCGAGCTCCCCTTCTTGAGCTCGCTCTCGTGCTCCCTCTCGCGCTCCGCCAGCTCTTCCCTGCCCTTGGTCAGCTCCCTCTGGCGGTGTGTGCTTTTGGCGACAGCGTGCCACGCGTTGAACGGGGGCCGCAGTGACTCGATCCTCTTCTGGATGCTGTACGCCACGTATATCCGCCAGGACGAGAAACAACCTTAACTGCCGCGGTGCGAAACATGCGACACGTAGCGTGCTGACGCGCATCCCAACACGTACACTGAACACATAGGTCTGGCGCGATGCGTGGGCCAAAGCGTGGACCAGCACGTGCCGAGCCAACACGCAGGGGGGTGTTCACCGTCGGTTTAAACACAGTTCGTGCTGCGTTCCAACACGGGCGTCTGAAGGCAAGCTAAGGAAACGACTGCTCAGCACCGTGTGGCCGTCGCCGCCGCCGATCAAGAACAGCGCCTTCGCGTACACCCGCGTCTTGTTCTTGAAGTCATTGGAGACGTCCTCCCTTCGCTTTGCATCCCTGTCCCGGGCCTGCTGCACGCGCTCCTCCATCACAAACGTCCGCCAGCCGCGCATAATGAGCCGCATGCCCACTGAGCCCGTGGTGTCCTGGAGCATGCTCATCACCCGCTGGTTCATGTACTCGACGCGCTCGTGCCTGACAGCTTCCACGTTCCTCTTCCGGCGATCCTCGGTCAGCCTCTCCTCCTTCTGGGTCGCCGTGGCCTTCCGCCAATACTCGAAGAATATGATGTACAGATCGTGGTCGCACGGTTGGATCATCAGCATCATCTTCTGGGCAATCCCGTCCTTTCGGGGGCTTCCAGGAGGAGGGCGTCCAAGGGGGGAACACCAAATCATGGCAAGAGGCGTGTGCGCAACCGCTGGAAGGGGGGGGGGGGGCAGGGAACGCATTTAGATGAGAAGAGGCTACGACATCTAGGGAGGTATCATGGCCCTGTCAAAAATATATCCTAGTCACCCCCCTGGTCATCTAGATGAGGAAAGCACGGCGTAAACACAAAATGTTGATGGTCCGCGCGCATTTCTTGGATCTGCGCTGGACCCCCCTCCCTGGCGCGCGGAAAGCGCCAGGGGCGGCGCCAGAGGCGCCGCCAGGGGGGTCCAGCGCAGATCAATAGAAATTCGCGCGGACCGTCGGAAGTTCATGTTTGTAAAGATTTCGCATCCTCGATCATTGCCCCCCTCCTGGCCGCCACCGATCCTTGAGAGCCTGGCTCTTCCTCGCCGCCTTGGCGGCCTTGAGCTCGGATAGCCAGGCGTGCCAGATCACGTCCAGCTCGACCAGCCGGGCCTTCCCCGCCATGCCCTCCAGGGCGGTGAACAGCCTCGGCTTCATCGAGAGACTCGCCCTCTTCAGCTTATCCTTGAACTTCTTCTCCTGGAGGCCGTGTTTGTTTGAGTCTGACCGGTAACTCAAGTAGGGGATCGACAACATAATTCATTTACCCCAAACTTGGTTTACCCTTCAAATCAACACACACAATACATATACTGTTTGCAGACCTGCAAACATTCGAGGCAATTGTCGTAGATTCGACCAACTATTTGTTGTAATGAATCTATCATGTAGGCGATCCCCAGCCCGAATAATACCCTTGACCTTTCCCCCCCTGGTCACTGGTCACGTCACGATTCGCGCCGGCGCCGTCTTGGAAGGAGCCATTCCCAGACACTCCCAGACGAGGCTGGCGGGAATCGTGACGTGACGCCACTCTCCCCCCTGGTCACGCCCGTTACCGCCAGGCGATACAAGAAACAGGGGAAACCCAACTGTGCCGATGCTGCTACTCCCGGACCTCTGCCCGGGTGCGTTCTGCCTAGGATTCCGAGGCGAATCCAGCGGCGGCGACGAGGGCTTTGCTGGAGGGAAGGGTCGCGGCATCGGCACCTTTACCTCTTCCGATTAGCGGCAGGCCTCCTGATCATTGGATACTGGAATTGTCCAGTCGCGACCGGCGAGAACGGTCGCTACCGAATGTGCTTCAAATTTCGGTATCGGTCGCGACCGATTTGCATCAGAATCGGTCGCGACCGATCGCTCGCGACGGGTCGGTCGCGACCGGTCGCGACCACCTTGGAGTGCCGATCGGTCGCTACCCATCACGACCGAACACGGGACCGTCTCCTGGCGCAGCTCTGTCGCCTCCTGCAGCCAGGCGTGGAAGCAGCGCTTCTGGAGCGCCAGGCCCCCACTCGGTCCCCACGCCTCCAGGGCCTTGAGCACGGCGGCCTGCCCAGCCCGCAAGGTCACGCGGTCCTGGCACGTGCGCCTCGGAAAGGGGGCCCAGTGGCACGCAACGAAACGACCACAAACCCCAGCATTCCCCATGTTCTCAAGATGTTGCAGAGGTTCGTCTTCACCTCCACTTCGCATTATTACAGTCAGCCCGTATAAGAAGGATGGGCGGTAAGGCTGCAAGGGCCTTGGAGGGCCACGTGAACGTTTTGGTTGACCGATGTTGGCCAGCGAAAGCGGTACCCTTGGGATGAACCGAGGATGCAAGCAAGGATGCAAAGGTATTCTTGGGAAGGTTGCCCATCCTGACTTCGCGGGTTGCCTGTATGTTCAAAAGTTTCGATGCATTCAACAGTTATTTGCGTCTGGGTGCTTCTTCTCCTCCTGCGCCTCTGAAGCTCCAGGATCTCTCTGTCGCGCTGCTTGATCAGCTCCACCAGGTCGAAGAACTTGCTGCTCTCCTCCTGCGACTCCTCCCGAATCCCGGGCGGCGCGAGCGCCGTTGCCTGCTGCAGCGCCGTGGTGCTGGCCTCTCGTTGAGGGAACCCACCGGCACCGATACTGCTTTACGTGAACTTTTTCTTATGCGGCGTTTCGACAATGGGCGGGAGGGGGGGGGGAGGAAAGGGGTGTCTGGCTCCGGACCTCTGCTTAATGCGAGTGTTTGCAACAGTGCGTCCTATGGGGAAGACTCCACCTGCAGGACGCAGGCGTCAAGAACAGCCACGATCTAGTCCATAGGGGGAGGGGAGGGGGGTGCGAGGGCCCGCGCCGATCGGCAAAACGATGAATGAGAAACGATCACTACTCCCCAAGTATCTCCCAGGGTGCGATCTGACCAGGATTCCGAAGCGAATCCAGCGGTAGCGACTAGGGCATCCCTCGAGGCCCCCCAAACAAGCCAAAACGAAGCAAGGGCAGCGGTATAGGCAACTTTCCCTCCTCCAAGCCTTGAGCGTGACGGTCAGCTGATGAATCTCGGCGCGGGCGTCGTGCAACTGCAGCCGCAGAGTCTGGGCGCGCTGCGAGGAGGCGCCACCGCCGGAGCTGCAACCGTCAGCGGCGCTGCCAGAGCTCCCGCCCGCGGCCCCGCCACCCTGCAGCCCGTAGTTGTCCTTGAAGCGGGGGCTGCCCTGGCACGGGGGCGCTTACTGCTGACCCATACGGACCCTGGCCAGGCCCATCCAGAGCCAAGGACCCAGGGATCGGCCTGACCAGGATCGATGCACACATATACCTATGTGTATACATACACACACATATATATGCATATATATACATATATGGGTGTGTGTGTGTGTGTTGCATACGCATGCTTACATGTGTGTACATAGATGTACAATCATCCATGAACATTACATGTGTATGTGTATGTCTGTGTGCATATATGTGTATCCGTCACCGTGCCTGTGGGCACGGAGTGGGCGTGCCCTCCTTGCCTAATCCTCTAAGCCTCCCTCCCTGCTCCTGAGTGTTCTTAAAAAAGGCTCGAAACCCAAATTGCCAAATCTCTGGGGGCTTCCCGCGTGTTCCCGGGCTGTGGTGCGGCTGTCCCCGTGACGTCGTCGGAGCCTACAGAGCCCCAGGGCCAAGAGGGCCGCAAGAGACCTTCCAGGCAGTTCAAGAGGACCCCAAGTCGCCGAAAGGTCGCCCCAGGACGCCCGAGATGGTATGGCAAGACGGTCCAAGAAGCCTCCAAGACGCCCAAAGAGGCCTCCAAGAGGCCTCCCAACACGGCCCTAAGAGGTACAAATAATTGATTTACTTCTGGGGTGTTAGGTTTTGGCGTTCTCGCCTTTTCGGCGCCGCTCCACGACGGCCCGAGAAGTCTCCCAAACCGCCCCAGCACGGCCCAAGGGGCCCCCAAGAGGCCCCCGAAGACGGCTCAAGAGAGCCCCAAGACGGCTCAAGAGGCGCCCACGACGGCCCAAGAGGGCCCCAAGAGAGGTCCGTGAGGGCGGCCACGAACCGAACATTCTAGCCTTCCGCCACAAGGGGGGTCCAGGAGGCCCCGAGAGGCCCAAACGAGGCCCCAAGACGCACCCAAGAGGCCATCAAGAAGCTCCAAAACGGCTCCGAAAACTGCCCCCAGGAGGCCTCAAAACGGCCCCCAAGAGGCCCCCGAGAGGCCTCCCGCGACATCCCAACGAACATCCTAGAGCCTATGACGCACAACCCAGGCACGGTGGCGGGATGAGCCGAAGGCCATTAGATATCCGCCGCCCCCTGTTGATTCATCACAGGGGTGCCTGGCGTGCTGAACCCTCTAGGTTTTGGTTTTGGTTCTTTTTCCAAAAGAACTCTCCCAATGGGTTTCGGCCCGTCCCGCCGGGGTCCCGGGAGGATTGCCGGGGAGCTCAATTCCGTACTCTCCTGCCCAAGACGGCTCCAAGATGGCCTCCAAGATGCCTCCAAGACGGCCAGGATGGCCTCCAAGACGGCTACGATGGCTTTAAGATGCCTCCAAGACGGCCCAAGATGTACCCAAGACGGCCTAAGATAGCCTCAAGATGGCCCAAGGCGGCCCAAGAGGCCCCTAAGAGGCCTCAAGGACAGCCCAAGAGCCCGTCGAGAGGTTCTCCACGAGGGCCCGAAGAGGCCAAAATCATTGATTTTCTCGTCGGTTTTTGAAGGATTTTGGCATTTTCGCCTGTTCGGCCTTCAGACGGCTCAAGACGGCCTAAGAGGCCCCCAAGATCGCCCAAGAGGCCCCCAAGAGGGCCCCATGACGGCCCAAGTGGCCTCCAAGATGGCCCCAAGAGGGCCCCAAGACGGCCCAAGAGGCCTCCAACACGCCCAAGATGGCTTCCAAGACGCGCAAGATGGCCTCCAAGACGGCCCTGGAGCGCCCCAAGAGGGTCCCCCGTTGGCCCAGAAAGACCCTCAAGACGGCTCCCGACGGCGTCAGACGTGCCAGGAACCCACCAAGATGGCTGAAGTTGGCTCGAAGCTGGCCCAAGACGGCCCAAGAGGCTCCCAAGAGGGCCTTCAGGAAGGCCAGAAAAGGCCAAAAACCTTGATTTTCCTAAGGTCTTCGACGGATTTTGACATTTCCTTCTTTTCGGCCTTCCGACGGCCCAAGACGGCCCAAGAGCCCCCAAAGATCGCCGAAAGATCGCCCAAGAGGCCTCCAATACGGCCAAGATGACCTTCAAGATGCCCATGTGTTCCCCGAAGGCTTTCCAAACCAATTCGGGGAACACATGGTCCGATGGCTTGGCAGGTCTGGCCTCAACGTTCGGCCACATCGGCGCTTCCAAAAAGGCAGGGGGCGGCGGTGCTTCGCCGTAGGCGTCTTCGATCCACCGCCCCCTTTTGATTTATCAAAGGGGTGCCCGGCGTGCCAAATTATATGGCTTTTGGTTTTGGTTCCTTTTCCAAAAGAACTCCCCCTGGGGCTCCGGCGCGTCCCGCCGGACACCCGGAAGAGGTATGTGCAAACGGTTTTCCTGCCCCAGACGACCCCACGATGGCCTCCAAGACGGCCAAGGTGCCTCCAAGACGGCCAAGATGGCCTCCAAGACGGCTCAGA